CGCAGCTTGCCCTGGTCTTCTTGGTCGCCGGGAGCGGGGACGGGGAGGGGGAGGGGGGCGGGGCGGGCGTCGGGGTTGAGGGAGGAGGAGGAGGAGGAGGTGGTGGCGACCTCGAGGATCTCGGGGTGGGCGGGGCTGCGGACGGAGGAGAGGCGCTCGACGAGGCAGGCGGAGCAGACGCCCGTGAGGGGCTGGTCCGGGTGGCGGCCGCAGCGCCGGCCGGCCGCCGGCTCCTCCGGCCCCGGCTCCGGCAGCGGCAGCGGGTGCGGGCCCTCCTCCTCGTCCATTGGGCCCGGAGTGGAAGCTCCCGAAGAAAGAGAGAGAGAGCGCGGCGGGTGAGTCAGCGAGTGAGGCAGGGTGGGGGGACAAGCGGAAGCAGAAGCGCAAGAGGGGGCGACGACGACATGGACAGGGACATGGCTGGCCGGAAAGGCCTCCGAAAAGAAAGAAAGGAAGAAAAACCCTAGCCTAGCCTGGCCTGGCGAGTGGGAAAAGCGACTTTCGGGGTTGGGTTGCTTCCTTCCGGCGCGTGCGGCGTGGGGAAACCAACCAACACGACACAAACGCTAGGAAAAGGCCCAACCAAGTGGCCGGGAGTGGAGCGGAGCGCCGGCGGATGGGATGGAGACGAGGTATCCGGCCGGCCGGCGGGCGGCCAGGAAATGCGAGTTTGTCGCCGCCGAGGAGCGCTAAATTTCGGGTATCTATTCGAGATCTGACCCTAGTCTGATATAATTTTGAGATCTGGTCCTTTTACTACCGCCAAGGTTCATGGCGATAGGGTCTAACAGCCTACCGCCAAGGTCACTGGCGGTAGGGTTGCATGCCCTACCGTAAAAAAAATTTAAGTGTTGAACACAGTGCGTGCTCGTGCCTACTGTAAAGCACTTTGACAGTAGGGTTTTATAGACTACCGCCAGTATGTTTTTTTTTTTGAGGGGGACTACCGCCAGTATGTTTGGCGGTACGCGCGGCTGTCCCGGTTCCCGCCTGCCGCCGTCCGGCCTCCACGATCCTGCCAGCCAGCCAGCGACCGCACCACACCTCCTCACGCCCTCCTCCACACCAGCCGGACGGGTACCCTCCACTCGTTACGCAGTCGGTGCTGCTTCCCCACTGCAAGAACGAAAACGATAAACACGTTTTCCATGTCATTTTATTATATTAGCATGAATGATGGCAAATTTATTTGTAGCTTGCATACATAGTTTCTCTTGAAGAAACGTTCGATTTGATTCGTCATGTCTAAAAAGAAAAATCTGACGTTCGGTAGATATTCGGGCCCTTCCTTCGACTTCATGATGATATGAAGCAACAGTAAAACATACTCCCTCTGTTCATTTTTATAAGGCTTGGTAGATGTCTCAGACACCGTGCAAAACAGCTCAATTTCACTTGTCTAAAACGACTTATAAAAGTGAACGGAGGGAGTAGTAGTAATAATAACAAGAAGAAGAAGATCCAGCCAAGGACTGTCGTAATAGAAGCAGACTTAAGCAAGGATTCTACTTCTTGACATCACGATATGGCTAATCGCACTTGCTATCCCAACAGTAAAACATACAGCCATACAGCGACTGGTGCCCCCCAAGTGGTTCCTTTGTGGTGTGGTGTGGTGTGGACCCGTCGTTGCTTCGGTGCAAACCAAAAATGAAAATCCAGCCGCCTGATCCTAAACTTCTCAGCCAGCTTAAATCCTGTTTACTCTGCCTGGTAACCATGGCAGCAGTCAGCAAAAACCACAGGGTCGTTCCCAGGGCAGCACAAACCACCACATAAACCAGACCGCGCCGCGCCGCAACGCACGAACGGCAGCAACATCACGGTTCCTTCCATTCTCATGCACCACACCACAAGCAACTAGCCACACCAGATCCATTCATTCATAGCAAGACACGCAACAAAAGGGCCTTCATCCATTAACCATACATTAATAGTCCATGAGAATCCTCTGGGAATCTTTCCAACATAAACATCAACATACAGGGGTGGGGGGTCACTCATTCATCAGGTTCACAGCAATACACGATTGCCGTTCGGGAGGGCAGCCCCGGAAGAAACACGCTGCAAAGCCTCACCTCTCCGACCGGTGGCCTCACTCGGGCACGTTCATGGGCTGCTCCAGGCTCTCGACAAGGATCCGGAGGTCTAGGTCCTTGTCCTCAAACTTCTTGATGAAGGCGTGGTTCTGCGACAATAACATCGAACATGTTAGTTGAACATGTTAGTTTAATAACGACGATTCAGCACACACACACACACACACTAGTCGGCAGAATCAATGGTGCCACGGTTAGTTGAACATGCTACAAGAAGTTGTCAAGTGGAAGGGAATGCTCACCAAGAGTTCTGAAGCAGACATCCGCTCGGCGGGGTCCTTTTGTATGCTGCAAAGCAAGATAGCAATATGAAATAACACTACAGTATATATACTACACAGATGGCACAAATTTCAAAAGCTAAGCTAGCAGAAATCATCGGTTGCCTTCAGGATGCGCACATCTCATTATGAATTTACTCACGAACTAAAATATAGAGCAATAAAACATATAGCCAATAAACAGAGTTGACTGTAAATCAAAGGAAGTTCGAAAGTAATAGTATTTGAATGGTCGGTTTTCAGCCGGGTTTCCTTATAAACTGGTCAACCCTCTTCTACATGAGAAGCAGAGCTCTTGCTGGTTGCTTGAAAAAAGAATAGTATTTGAGTGGTAGATATGAGCCAATTGCTGCAGGTCAAGCATGATGTGAGGACTGGGGAGTTTAGACAGAGTCGCATGGTAAATACATGTAAGTGTATTACGGTATTAGTTAATCACATCAATGACACACCACTCTGAGTACGAGCAGAAATCGGAGTGCAAAAGATGGTAATTGGCACACAAAACATGTAACGATATGTGCATTCAGATTATTTTTATCATCAATTCCTAAAGAGTTCACACATGGGATAGAAAACTAATGGATAAATACGCAGGCTAGCAAGAAACAAGCATGACTGCAACAAGATATATCTGCAGCTTCGAAAATTGCGAACTCTGATTGAATTTGTACACTTGATCATAAAATGGTGTTGTCTTCTATATATTGTTTAGATGTGCAGGATAAGGTTTATTTCCCCACTATGGAACCTTGCTGGCTGTTTGCATCTCTGCCTGGGTGATTTAATCCTTGGAGATATGAGATCTCTCTTATCATGTTTTAATCACATTCTGTCATCTGCAATACTGCAGCCGATGTCCGAAGTACCTTTTTTTTTCCAATTAATTGTCACTTTGGTGGTTCTTTGCCCCCACTGTATTGTATTTTTTCCAAGTTTACTTGGAGGGTTTAATTTGTTCAATCTCATATTACTTTTAGCTCACAACTTCTTATTGCTACATATTTTGACACTACAAATACACAGGCTGATACAGATCGGTACAGATATTACGTACCAGTTTCGGATATGCGTAATAAAGGTAAGCGGAGGAAATCTTTACGCACATGCCTTAAATTAAGAGTAGAGGACAAAAGGACAGGGCAGGTGATTATGTGGTCCCATTATCATTGACTGTAGAATGTTGCCGCCATGCACCGGGTGTCTTAATTACTTTCTCTGCATACGGTGCACCACCCATTATTTATACCTCAAAGCTCAAGCACTTTGTCCAGCAATTCAAGCTTGTACTTCGAGAGCTTTTGTATCGCTATATTTGTAGGCACTGAAAGTAAGCCGGGAAGAGGAAGAGTGAACTCAAGAGCACTGGGAATGGGAACATGGAGGAAAGCCCTGCTTGTTTGTTTGCACCTGCAGTGTTGGAGGTGCAAATATTGGGCATGGATCCTTTCCTGATGCCTCCCATTCCTACCGTTCTTGTGCACTTCTTCCTCTTCCTTTTGGCTTACGCAATAGCTCTGATGGAGAAACCATAGACATGTGTCCACATGTTTAGATAACATGAGACCTCAATGGCAAGCCCAGAAGAGGAAGAATAGAGGGCCTTAGAGTAGTGGGAATGGGAACATGGAGGAAAGCCTAACTTGCTCGGTTTTCACCTCCAGTGTTGGAGGTGAGAATTTAGTTTGGTGTTTCCCAATGCCTCCCATTCCTATTGTTCTAAAGCACTCCTTCCTCTTCCTTTTTGGCTTGCTTGATTGCTTTAGCTTAGAAACCAACTATTCGTTTGCATATATTCGATGTGAAATCTCAAAAGCGAGCTAGGAAGAGGAAGAAAGAGAGGGCCTAAGAGCAATGGGGATGAGAACATAGAGGAAAGCCTAAGTTATCGGTTCTTCACCTCTTGTGCTGAGGTGGAAATCCCGTTTGGTATTTTCCCGACGCCTCTCATTCCTATCGTTCTTAAGCGCTCCTTCCTCTTCCTTTTTGTGTGCTGAATCTTTTAGCAGAAAAACTGAACGTATATGTGGATATATTAAGATGGTATGAGATGTCCATTGCGAGACATGAAGAAGAAGAAAAGATGACCTAAGAGCAGTGGGCATGGGAACATGATGGAAGGCTAAAGCCCTTGTTCCTCGTCTAACACTAGAGGAGGCTTTGGTTTGAGTTTTTGTGATGCCTTCCATGCCTATTGTTCTTTGGTGCCCCTTCCTCTTCATGGGATACACAACCTAAAAAGGATTCATAGTATAACTGATTTGGTCAAGTTCATACACCCTGCATAGTAGGAGGGTTATTTTCCATGTTTTTTTTGGCATGCCTTAATCCATCGGTTAGATAAGATGCCGGATTGTTAGCTGGTTTATACTACAGCCTCAAAGTCAAGGGTTTGTCAATCAAGGCAACAATTAGATCAGATATTGACATAGCTAACTTAAATCAGGAAGTAGATTTTGACATTAAACTGAAAATTAGGGTTGTTACATGATTAATAACTCAAACACCAGATTAGCTAAACTGCTTGAAGTTTCAAGGGCCCACAAGCTACTTAAACAGGGTTTGGTAAACAGGTAGTTTCAGTGGCAAGTTGCCGAAAGTCGATCCATTTGTGAGGGCTGGAATTTCTTGGGATGCACTGAAATGTAATATCATGAAAAAAACATTGATTCGTCCGTTTGCTGTTGCAAAAAACACCATTATAAAATCTGGACATCTGAGGATTTCACTAATTCTTATCTGAAGAACATTGCACAGTTTAAACAGTTATTCTCCAGAATTAATGAAGCCCAAATTATCACACTAAATCAAAGGAAGTTCTGAAGTAATAGTATTTGAATGGTAGATATCAGCCAATTGATGCAGGTCAAGCATTATGTGAGGACTGAGGAGTTTAGACAGAGTCGCATGGTAAATGCATGCAAGCGTATTACTCTTATCAGTTAATCACATCAATGACACACCACTCTGACCACTCTAGCTAAGACTACGAGCAGAAATCGGAGTGCAAAAGATGGTAATTGGCACACAAAACATGAAACAAATCGGAGTGCAAAAGATGGTAATTGGCACACAAAACATGAAGCAATATCAATATGTTCATTCAGATTATTTTTATCATTTCCTAAATAGTTCACACATGGGATATAGCAAACTAATGGATAAAATACACAGACTAGCAAGAAACAACCATTACTGCAACAGGATATATCTGCAGCTTCGAAAATTGTGAACTCCGATGGAATTTGCAGTTTTGTACAATTCATCATAAATTGGTGTTGTTTTTTATATATTGTTTAATGTGCAGGATAAGGCTTATTTCCCCACTCTGGAACCTTGCAGTCTGTTTGCATCTCAACCTGGGCGATTTAATCCTTGGAGGGATGGTGGCCGAGCTACAAGGTTGAACTGGGAAGTACTTTGATGGGTGGAAGAAGTACCATGCTCTCTTCAAGACCTTGTTCTTCCTTTGTGTCCGATCCTTATTCTTAAAATACTCTGTGTATAAATGAGTTTAGACTGAATATGTGATCACTATACCTTCATGTGTTTTCCTCCTAGGGATCAAGGGTGATGGTTTCTTTGGAGATATGTTTTTCCTATATTTTCTCATGCCATGTAGTTGTGTGCAGCCTGCAGAATTTGGATACTAAATTACTTAAAAAATAATAGGACTAAACTTTTTTTCTTTATAAAATAGTCTACAGACATTTTGGTTTTGCAGATATGAGATCCCTCTAATCATGTTGTAATCACATTCTGTCATCTGCAAATAATGCAGCTCATGTCCAAAGTACCTTGTGTTCCAATTAATTGTCACATTGGTGGTTCTTTGCCCACTGTTATGTAATTTTTCAAGGGTTTAATTTGTCTAATTTCATATTATTTTTAGCTTATAACTTCTTATTGCTACATATATTGACACTATAAATGCACAGGCTGATACAGATGTTCTAAAAGAAGGCTGGTACAGATATTATGTACCAGTTTCGGATATGGGTAATAAAGGTGAGCAAAAGAGATCTTTACGCACATGCCCTTAATTAAGAGTAGAGGACAATAGGACAGGACCGGTGATTATATGACCCCATTATCATTGACTGTAGAATGGTGCCTCCATGCACCGGGTGTCTTCATTGCTTTCTCCTCTAAGGTTCTGCATATGGTGCACCACCAATTATTTATACTTCAAAGCTGAAACACTTTGTCCAACAATTCAAGCTTGTCCTTCGAGAGCCTTGTCTCGCTAGATTTGTACGCACTGAAAGTAAGCCCAGAAGAGGAAGAGAGAGCTCAAGAGCAATGGGAATGGGAACATGGAGGAAAGCAATGCTTGTTTGTTTGCACCTGTAGTATCGGAGGTGCAAATATTTGGCATGGATCCTTTCCTGATGCCTCCCGTTCCTACCGTTCTTGTGCACTTCTTCCTGTTCCTTTTGGCTTACATGATAGCTCTGATGGAGAAACCATAGACATGTGTCCACATGTTTAGATAACATGAGACCTCGAATGCGAGCCCGGAAGAGGAAGAATAGAGGGCCTTAGAGTAGTGGGAATGGGAACATGGAGGAAAGCCTAAATTGCTCGGTTTTCACCTCTAGTGTTGGAGGTGAAAAATCTAGTTTGGTGTTTCCCAATGCCTCCCATTCCTATTGTTCTAAAGCACTCCTTCCTCTTCCTTTTTTGGCTTGCTTGGTTGCTTTAGTTTAGAAACCAACTATATGTTTGCACATATTCGATGTGAAATCTCAAAAGCGAGCTAGGAAGAGGAAGAAAGGGAGGGCCTAAGAGCAATGGGGATGAGAGCATAGAGGAAAGCCTAAGTTATCGGTTCTTCACCTCTTGTGTTGAGGTGGAAATCCCGTTTGGTATTTTCCCGATGCCTCTCATTCCTATCGTTCTTAAGCGCTCCTTCCTCTTCCTTTTTGTTTGCTGAATCTTTTAGCAGAAAAACTGAACGTATATGTGGATATATTGAGATAGTATGAGATGTCTATTGCGAGACATGAAGAGGAAGAAAAGGTGACTTAAGAGCAGTGGGCATGGGAACATGATGGAAGGCTAAAGCCCTTGTTCCCCGTCTAACACTAGAGGAGGCTTTGGTTTGAGTTTTTCTGATGCCTTCCATGCCTATTGTTGTTTGGTGCCCCTTCCTCTTCCTTTTGGATACACAACATAAAAAGGATTCATAGTATAACATGATTTGGTCAAGTTCATACACCCTGCATAGTAGGAGGGTTATTTTCCATCTTTTTCTGGCATGACTTAATCCATCGGTTAGATAAGATGCCGGATTGTTAGCTGGTTTATACTACAACCTCAAAGTCAAGGTTTTGTCAATCAAGGCAACAATTAGATCAGATATTGACATAGCTAACTTAAATCAGTAAGTACATTTTGACATTAAACTGACAATTAGGGTTGTTACATGATTAATAACTCAAACGCCAGATTAGCTAAACTGCTTTAAGTTTCAAGGGCACACAAGCTACTTAAACAGGATTTGATAATCAGGTAGTTTCAGTGGCAAGTGGCCCTGAGTAGCTGTTGTCTGGAAGCGCAAGTCGATCTGTTTGGGAGGGCTGGAATTTCTTGGGCTGTACTGAAATGTAATATTATGGTTTAAAAAAAAATATTGATTCGTCCGTTTGCTGTTGCAAAACACACCATTATAAAATCTGGACATATGAGGCTTTCACTAATTCTTATCTGAAGAACACTGCACAGTTTAAACAGTTATTCTCCAGAATTAATGAAGCCCAAATTATCACACTAAATCAAAGGAAGTTCTGAAGTAATAGTATTTGAATGGTACATATCAGCCAGTTGATGCAGGTCAAGCATGACGTGAGGACTGAGGAGTTTAGACAGAGTCGCATGGTAAATGCATGTAAGTGCATTACTCTATCAGTTAATCAGATCAATGACACACCACTCTGACCACTCTAGCTAAGACTACGAGCAGAAACGGAGTACGAAAGATCGTAATTGGCACACAAAACATGAGACAATATCACTATGTTCATTCAGATTATTTTTATTATTTCCTCAGTAGTTCAAACATGGGATATAGCAACCTAATGGATTTATCTGCAGCTACGAAAATTGTGAACTCCAATGGAATTTGCAGTTTTGTAAACTTCATCATAAATTGGTGTTGTTTTTTATATATTGTTTAGATGTGCGGGATAAGGCTTATTTCCCCACTCTGGAACCTTGCAGGCTGTTTGCATCTCAACCTGGGCGATTTAATCCTTGGAGAGATGGTGGCAGAGCTACAAGATTGAACTGGGAAGTACTTCGATGGGTGGAAGAAGTACCATACTCTCTTCGGGACCTTGTTCTTCCTTTGTGTCCAAACCTTGTTCTTAAAATACTATGTGTATAATGAGTTTAGACTGAATATGTGATCACTATACCTTCATGTGTTTTATCCTAGGGATCAAGGGTGACAGTTCCTTTGGAGATATGTTTTTCCTATATTTTCCCATGACATGTAGTTGTGTACAGCCTGCAGAATTTGGATACTAAATTACTTAAAAAATAATAGGACTAAACTTTTTTTTCTTGATAAAATGGTCTATAGACATTTTGGTTATGCAGATATGAGATCCCTCTAATCATGTTGTAATCACATTCTGTCATCTGCAATAACGCAGCTCATGTCCAAAGTACCTTGTGTTCCAATTAATTGTCACGTTGGTGGTTCTTTGCCCACTGTTTTGTAATTTTTCGAGGGTTTAATATGTCTAATTTCATATTATTTTTAGCTTATAACTTCTTATTGCTGCGTATTTTGACACTATAAATGCACAGGATGATACAGATATTGTTCTAAAAGAAGGCTGGTACAGATATTATGTACCAGTTTCGGATATGGGTAATAAAGGTGAGCAAAAGAGATCTTTACGCACATGCCCTTAATTAAGAGTAGAGGACAATAGGACAGGGCTGGTGATTATGTGACCCCATTATCATTGACTGTAGAATGGTGCCTCCATGCACTGGGTGTCTTCATTGCTTTCTCCTCTAAGGTTCTGCATATGGTGCACCACCAATTATTTATACCTCAAAGCTGAAACACTTTGTCCAACACTTCAAGCTTGTCCTTCGAGAGCCTTGTCTCTAGATTTGTACGCACTGAAAGTAAGCCGGGAAGAGGAAGAGAGAGCTCAAGAGCAATGGGAATGGGAACATGGAGGAAAGCAATGCTTGTTTGTTTGCACCTGTAGTATCGGAGGTGCAAATATTTGGCATGGATCCTTTCCTGATGCCTCCCATTTCTACCGTTCTTGTGCACTTCTTCCTGTTCCTTTTGGCTTACGTGATAGCTCTGATGGAGAAACCATAGACATGTGTCCACATGTTTAGATAACATGAGACCTCGAATGCGAGCCCGGAAGAGGAAGAATAGAGGGCCTTAGAGTAGTGGGAATGGGAACATGGAGGAAAGCCTAAATTGCTCGGTTTTCATCTCTAGTGTTAGAGGTGAAAATCTAGTTTGGTGTTTCCCAATGCCTCCCATTCCTATTGTTCTAAAGCACTCCTTCCTCTTCCTTTTTTGGCTTGCTTGGTTGCTTTAGTTTAGAAACCAACTATATGTCTGCACATATTCGATGTGAAATCTCAAAAGCGAGCTAGGAAGAGGAAGAAAGGGAGGGCCTAAGAGCAATGGGGATGAGAGCATAGAGGAAAGCCTAAGTTATCGGTTCTTCACCTCTTGTGTTGAGGTGGAAATCCCGTTTGGTATTTCCCAATGCCTCTCATTCCTATCGTTCTTAAGCGCTCCTTCCTCTTCCTTTTTGTTCACTAAATCTTTAGCACAAAAACTGAACATATATGTGGATATGTTCAGATGGTATGAGATGTCCATTGTGAAACATGAAGAGGAAGCAAAGATGACCTAAGAGCAGTGGGCATGGGAACATGATGGAAGGCTAAAGCCCTTGTTCCTCGTCTAACACTAGAGGAGGCTTTGGTTTGAGTTTTTGTGATGCCTTCCATGCCTATTGTTCTCTGGTGTTCCTTCCTCTTCCTTTTGAATCACACAACATAAAAAGGATTCATAGTATAACATCATTTGGTCAACTTCATACACCCTGTATAGTAGGAGGGTTATTTTCCATATTTTTTTGGCATGCCTTAATCCATTGGTAAGATAAGATGCCGGATTGTTAACTGGTCTATCAACCCCACTGTCAAGGTTTTGTTAGTCAAGGCAACAATTAGATCAGATATTGACATAGCTAACTTAAATCAATGTGTACATTTTGACATTATTGACAATCAGGGTTGTTACATGATTGATAACTCAAACTCCAGATTAGCTAAACTGAAGTTTCAAGGGCCAACAAGCTACTTAAACAGGGTTTGATAAACAGTTCATTGGCAAGTTGCCCTGAGTAGTTGTTGTCCGGGGGCGCAAGTTGATTTGTTTGGGAGGGCTGGGATTTCTTGGGCTGTACTGAAATGTAATATTCATTAAGAAACATTGATTCATCCGTTTGCTATTGAAAAAGCACCATTATAAAATTTGGGCATCTGAGGATTTCACTAATTCTTATCTGAGAAACACCCCGCAGTTTAAACAGTTATTCTCCAGAATTAATGAAGCCCAAATTATCACACTAAAACAGTTCTATTAAGACCACGCTTGTTCAAAGGGGAAAGTAATACTTAAATAGATCAAACACATTTTTTTTAAAGGGGGGAATAATAATTGAGTGGACAAAGTCCATGAGCTGTGAGATGAGAAAGCAGATAACTATTAAAACAAGTTGGCCTAACCAACAATTTAAAATATTTACGGGAAGGACACGTGGAGGAAATCAGAACTTTAGAAAACAGGGCAAGAAGTTCATTCAAAGGGGAAAGTAATACTTGAATAGACAACACATTTTATCAAAGGGGGGGATAATAATTGAGTGGACAAAGTCCATGAGCTGTGAGACGAGAAAGCAGATAACTATTAAAACAACAAGAAGGACACGCGAAGGAAATCAGAACTTTAGAAAAAAGGGCAAGAAGTTCATTCAAGCATACTAAGCAAGAGGACAAAATAGAAATATAGTGACTGAACTAATTTCATGTGTAATTCCTGAGAATAATGTTAGCATACCAGGAAGAGATAAATGAGCAGAATTCTGGAGAGAACTGATCTGCAGGTGCAGAAGGTGGTGGCTGGTCAACAATTGCTTCCAATAGTTCATAGAAGCTTAACCAACCTTCTCCCTCTGGAGGAGTATAAGGGAAGCGACCAATGGCGCATTCAAGTATTACCAAGCCCAAACTCCATACATCACTCTTGTAGTCATAGGAGCTGCCACTAATCCGCTCAGGCTGCACAAGGAAGAAAGGAAGAAACTATGAAGGAAAATTTATGCACCCCAGATAACCGTTATGAGCATAAGCCGCAGTCAGAAGACAAAACTGGTCTTTTTACATACCGCCATATAGTTGTAGGTTCCAACAAATGTATCACGCTGACCAATCGAACTTGCTAGCACTGCACTCACCCCAAAATCAGTAATCTTTACTTCACCTTTATGGTTGACTAACAAGTTAGAAGGCTTTATGTCTCTGTGAATCACATGCCTTTCATGATGAAGATATAACAATCCCTCCAAAACCTGATTTATTCAGACACTACTGATGTTAGATGTGCCAGATTGTAGCTCCAACTTCCAACATATGTGACAGAATTTTAAGAATATTCTGAATACAAAAGTCAAAGCAGAAACAATAGGCCAAGCATATACATACCTGCTTGCAAAGTACTGCGAGGTATGGCTCCAGAATGGTTTTAACTTGTTTAATTATGTCTGCAAGAGATCCACGATCCATATATTCCAGAACAAGATATATTACACCATTGTGGTAAAAAGATTGATGGCAAAGGACTATATGTGGGCTCTGTGTTGCTTGATTTATTTTGAGCTCCTGTACTATTTGTTTGCGAACTGACTCCTGAATGTTCATTTGAATGCCCTATGAAGAAATTGCAATAGTCAATTAACTGATAGATCATATGGAGAAATGCCACGGCAGTACAAAGATCAGGAACAACGCTTGAAAACATTTAATCGCCCATATATTGTTACCTGATGTATTCTCATGCATTAGCGTCAGTTCTCAAATCAGTGTTCCATACAGATTTTGCAGGCCAGTACTAGATGTTTTTGCTATCGAAATATGTATATGGCAACCGTGTGCCAGATTGCGAAACTGCCACACGCCTCCCGATCTTCTTCCTTTCCCGCACGTCCTCCCCGACCTCCCTCCCGATTTCTTTCCTTTCCTGCACGTCTCCCGATCTCTTTCCTTTCCCGCGGGCACACCCGCTCGTGACTTCCTAATTTTCGTAATCGTCAATTATGGCCCCACGCGACTTCCCAATTTTCGGGCAAAAATAATGCTTGGACTAGGATTTGATCTCTGGTCTACAGGTAATCAACGAAGGGAACTAACCACCTCACCTATGACACTGATTGTTGAACAAGCTAAGGGAAATACTGTTTTTGACATGTTTTTGCCTTTAATATGTTAGCACTGAATTTTTTTTGTTTCAAGCATCGTGGTAACTTTGATCATTGGGAATAAATTTGTTGAACCCGCCCCCCGGTAATTTCTGTAAATAGCACGATAACATTCACGCTATAGACCTGATAATTTAGATACAAACATCGTGGTAACTTTAACCATTGGGGAAGATAAATGTGAAAAGATACCCGATAATTTATGTGTAAATAGATGGTAATATACGCAGCGCACATCTGATAACTGAGGTAGAAACACCATGGTAACTTTGATCGTAGGGATTTTTTTTTGAAAAGATACTCCGATATCTTCTGTGTAAATAGCACGGTAGTATACCTCCCTCCTCTGGCATTTTTATGTGTAAATAGCATGAAAATATATGCACTGCGATAACTAAACACCATGATAAGTTTCTGACCCGTGGGGGAGAATTTGCTGAAACATACACCTGATAAATTTTGTGTAAATAGCATGATATTTTAAGCACTACGGGCTTGATAAATTACCTAGAATCACCATGATAACTTTTTCTCCCAGGAAAAAGTTGTTCAAAACATCCCCAATAATTTTCATGTAAATAACATGATAATATAAGCACCGCATAACCGATAACTTGCAATATAAACATGATGGTAACTTTTTTTACCAAAGAAAAATAAGTTGTTAAAGACATACACTCGCCTCGCGCGTGGGCCTCTTGGATGAACACAACACATGACGTGCCACGAGAAAGTGACATAATGTTTAGTGTCATGAGGGGCACACGTGCTATAGGCGTGGTAAGTTACGCAAAAACATCGTGGTAATTTTTGACCTATGGGAAATGCTACCGAAACACACCCAGGTTTTTAGGTGCAAGTAACATGATAATATACAAACTATAGACCCGGTAACTCATGTACAATCCCCCATGGTAACTTTGACCAGGGGGAGGTTGATGTACATATACCCTGATAACTTATGTGTAAGTACCACGGTATTTTACACGTCGAAAACCTTCTAACTTGTGTATAAAATACAGTGGTGACTTTGAAGGGGTGTAGTTGTTGAAGCATAGTACCTGGTACGTTCTATGTAAATAGTATGGTAAGTTACGCAACACAGGCCTGATAACTTGCATATGAATGTCATGGTAACTTTGTCCTGAGGAGAAATCATGTGGTAGACGTGAAGAAGTGACAGTTTTCTCGGGGGTGGGCGCGCGAGATGTGCGGGAGAAACAGGTTTCTCGGACGAGCCTCCGGGGTCATTTCAGAGGAGGCGAGGTCAAAGGACGGGGGATCGTGTGGTACTTTAAAATGAAAGAAGTAGAGGTGTGGCAGTTTTGCTTATATGGCACACGTGTGCCAAATATCAGTCCTTTTGCTATAACTCATTTTAATAGTGTGCGTAAGCGTGCATCTAACTGAATATACTGTCATGCCATCACAAGCTGACTAAACAAAACTAATCTTCAGAGGTAGAATAATCCAATTGTCGTGACACGTCAAACAGATATGAATAGATTATTTTTCATGTTAACAAACTTGAATAAAAAAATAAACAGTATAACAGAAAAAACTACTCCCTCCGTCCCATAATATAAGAGCGCTTTTGACACTACACTAGTGTCAAAAACGCTCTTATATTATGGGACGGAGGGAGTAGCAGTTTACCGGAATGCTCTAACAGTAACAATAAAAATCCAACTTAGGCATACATAAATTTAGTGTTCTGTTACCTTCAAGGCATAAAATGTGCCCACCCACTTGTGCCGCACTAGTTGGACAACACCACCACTTCCCTTACCAATGACCTGAATCATCTCGAGGTCATCCATTGATAACTGCACATCTTCCACCTTCATTTTTGTTGATTGCTGAGGAAAATAAACAAATCAACATGTACTCAGAATTCAGAAACAACTTGATCCTTATCCAAATGATAACAAGCACAAACTGAGTAACAATATATCCTAGTTGGGATTCTACAGTAACCTTTAGACAACATACCCTATTCCCACTAACTATAAAACTTCTGTTGGTGGCATCTAATAAGCAGCAGCGAGCAGCAGAGTACATAATTTCAATCCTAGGCATTAAAAAATAATCATGAAACAATTATTGAGAAATCTGCAAATATGTTATGATTTTGGATAAAACGACTACAAAGTTTGAACTAGAAGGGTTCCTCTGACCCTGCGGTCCATAAATTTGTAACTTTGGTCGATGAAAGTAACACATGCTGCGACCTAGGCTGACAGCTGACTGCCTAAGTCACCAACAAATGCGAGCACTCTCTCTCTCCCTCTCCCTCTTGCGCACCTCCGCTGGGCAGATCCGAACTCCATATCTTCATAGCAGTTCACCTGGTCTCCTACCTACTCCTCGACTTGTTTTCAGGCTCTGGCAGCCAGTTCCATATTCATCTCCCATTCAAGAAATCCTAACCATAGGAAGAGACCATGAGGGGGAAGGAACCGCTCAAGGAGCTCCAGCTCATTCTGCCGGAGCGACACCTGTCAGTAAACCATGTAGGTTTTCTTGACTCGTTGGCTTAAACTGCCCGTTTTATTTATATAGCATGTTTTGTTTTCCTTTTTCCTGTTGAAGCTACTGAGGACTTGATATTTTACTGCACTACTTTTTTGTGTCTAGAAATGTTTTTGAGATACTTGAAGAAACAAGAAGTAATGTGTGAATTAAATGGTTGTCTTTGGTTTCTGGTGGTCTTTTAGACTTGATCAAAGAGGCTCGTGGCTTATCTCCGAGGAAAAGAGCGATGACTACGTGAGTTCCAGGTTCAGTAATGACTATTTTTTCGGTATGTCTTACTGTATTCAGGTTATATTGTACTTTGTGTGGCGACGTGTACGTTTATATAGTAGTACATATACTATTCAATCACAAATCTTATCAAATGTTTTGTTGGTTCCCCCTGGTTTATTGAATGCAGTAGACCCTCTGAGTGCACTGAATCAGTGACGCACGCAACACATAAACCACCCTTGTTAATGAATACGAGTACAATACAACAGGAACACACAACTGGGCAGATTAACAAACAACAGAGTTAGTCATTACAAAATATTGAGCCAAGAACTCACATGTTCATCTCCGTTTTCCTCGGAGATAAGCTGCAAACCTCTTTGATTAAGTCGCAGTTCACCGTCCTTGAACGTACCGCTCGCCGTCCTGAAAGACCACAAGCAGCTCAGCAACTCAACCCATATTGAGTTCAAATTAATCACTGGACTTGAATACTTTCGTGACATACAAAATGCAGAGTCAGCTCAGCAGCTCCGACCGTACCAATTCCAAATCAAGCACTACACTTAATGAATGCCATCAAAGTAAATCTATGCTTCAGACTACTACTGGCTACCCAGCTCCATCACAACCCGCAACAAAACCAACAGATCAAATCAAAGATGACACAGAAAACAAGTCTACCCAGGCCCCACAAAAATCTCTCATTATTACGTAGAAATAAAGCTCAAACTTTTGACGGCTTCAGTGGGGGAAAGGGGAGAGGGAAAAAAAAACATGAAATTTAGGGTGAGGAATGGGGGAGGCCTACAGGAACTTATCGACGGGCGTCTCCTGCGCCGGCACGGAGAGTGTGAGCTCCTTGAGCGGCTTCTTCCCCCTCATGGTGTCCTCCTTCCTCTGGCTAGGGTTTCTCGGGCGGGAGATGGACGCGGAGCTGGACAAAGCCGGAAGCAGGTTAGACATAGATCCGACGAGTCGGCATAAAGATACTGACTTTCGATCAGGCCGGATATGCTCGCTCACCGGGGGCGCGGCGGACGGGGAGGAGCGGCCGGGGCGCCGTCGGTGTGAGGGGAGGAATATAGGGAGAAAAATAGCAGCGGCGGAGCTGGTCAAAATGGTGGCACGTGGTGCGACTTGGGTTGACTGGTGAGGGGACGGCTAGCAGCCGTGCTCCAGGTTGGTCGCTGGATCGATCCGCGCGGCGGGCGGTCGCTGTAGCCGGCCACTGGATGGATCGAGCTCGGCAGAAAGTTCCCGGCGGCGGCGGGCGGGGGGAGGCTAGGGGAGCGCGCGGATCTGGAGGTGGGGGTGAGGGGGGGAGATGCGGTCCGGCCGACGGCGAGGGGTGGTCGGGTCGGCCGGGGACGTGGCGGCTAGCGGAGGGAGGGGAGGGGAGGGGAGGGGCGGGGGGACTGCCCTGGTCAGTAGACTCAGTACAGAGTCAGACAGTGGTCGCGCTCAGTGAAGCCGACTGGGCTGTGATGGACTCAGCTGTGTGTGGCCTGGCCCAGCGTAGCTTTCAAGGCCCTAAATGTGAGTCAAGCTTTTTCTGGGCCATGATCGATGCAGACCCAGTGCACATTCCTCCTCAGAAAACAGAAGAAGAATTCCCTTATATCTTAATAAAAAAACAACAAGAAGAAGAAGAAGTGCACTTTCAGTGTGTAGAAGCTGCAGCAACACGTTTTTTTTTAATAGAGAGTTGTATTAATTAAGTAGAGAAAACATAGTTCGTACAATTGTACAAGGCCTCGCTCAACACGCAGGTTGGCACTGTGCCTTGCATAACCCCCCACGCAACTCTCTACGCCCCAACTGGGCAAGACTATGAGCTAACCTATTGTCCCTTCTATCTACTTTGCAAACTCTAACTTCTCTGTTTTCTTTCATGGCTTGAAACTTCTTTGCAATTGTTCCAACCTCCGATCTAGCAATAGACGAGAGGATGAGCGCCTTTGTCACCGAGCTGCAATCCGTCTCGATGATTAAGGGTAAATCCGTCCCCGACATTGCCTTCCGTAGTCCTTCTAGACAAGCCATGGCTTCCGCGCAATCCGCTCCATTGCATCGCGGTATATAATCCCAAACTGATAAGATAATTCTTCCATCATGGTCTCGAATCACAGCTTCCCAGGCTCCACTCCTACTTTCCTCCAAAAAACTTCCATCAACATTGACCTTAGCCCATCCGAGCTCTGGCTTTTCCCATCCTTTTTCCTTTTGTATTATCATGTTGTTGCACAGATGGCAATTTAACCATCAGACCTTTCCCTTTTCGATCTATCTCAGAAGTTCCCTCCGCAATCAAGCGGAGGTTTGCAAGGTAGTTTTGCAGAAAACGAGCAGAGTGGGAAATTTTCGCTTTACCTTTAGCGAAGGTCGCGTCATTTCTATGGTGTCTGTCGGTGTCAAAACCGGCGGATCTCGGGTAGGGGGTCCCGAACTATGCGTCTAAGGCGGATGGTAACAGGAGGCAGGAAACACGATGTTTTACCCAGGTTCGGGCCCTCTTGATGGAGGTAAAACCCTACGTCCTGCTTGATTAATATTGATGATATGGGTAGTACAAGAGTAAATCTACCACGAGATCAGAGGCTAAACCCTAGAAGCTAGCCTATGGTATGATGGTATGTTGTCCTACGGAGTAAAACCCTCCGGTTTATATAGACACCGGAAAGGGCTAGGGTTACACAAGGTCGGTTATAAAGGAGGAGATACACATATCCGTATTGCCTAGCTTGCCTTCCACGCCAAGTAGAGTCCCATCCAGACACGAGACGAAGTCTTCAATCTTGTATCTTCATAGTCCAACAGTCCGGCCAAAGGATATAATCCGGTTGTCCGGAGACCCCCTAATCCAGGACTCCTCAGTAGCCCCTGAACCAGGCTTTCAATGACGATGAGTCCGGCGCGCAGTATTGTCTTCGGCATTGCAAGGCGGGTTCCTCCTCCGAATACACCACGGAAGAATTTGAATACAAGGATAGTGTCCGACCCTGCAAAATAAGTTCCACATACCACCATAGAGAGAATAATATTTTCACAAATCCAATTTGCTGACTTGTTTTGGCAACACGACATTATGCCATGGCCCGGTGATTATTCGAACCGTTTCCTTTAACTAGCCCCGCACATAACGCGAGGCAGTTTTTTGACACGTCTTGTCAAAGCAGAGATCGTGTCCCCTTATCACGGGATTCTCATCAATACGGGTGTGGGTAACCCAACCGCGCCATCGATTACGGCGCTTGGGGGATAAGCGAGTTTTACCAGGCTAGTGGGGACACATAGTTTCGTCTGCCCATATAAAGGGATAAGGATTCACCTTTTCATCAACGCCTTCTTCCTCCTTTACTCATCCATTTTCGCACACTCGAGCTCCAGCGCCCAAGTCCGCACTTCCCACCTCAACCCTCTCCAACCATGTCTGGAGCGGGAGGCAGGTGGATGGTCTCCTCCGTTACGGAGGGACACATCAAGAAGCTGAGGAGAGCCGGATACCTGTCCGACGACATCGCGCACCGGCTCCCAGATGAGGGGCAGCTCATCCCCACCCCCAGGCCCCATGAGAGGGTAGTGTTCCTTACCCATTTCCTCCGCGGACTGGGATTCCCTCTCCACCCATTCGTCCGGGGGCTCATGCTCTACTACGGCCTGGATTTCCACGATCTGGCCCCGAACTTCATCCTCAATATCTCGGCGTTTTATCATCATGTGCGAGGCCTTCCTCCGCATCCAGCCCCACTTCGGCTTATGGCTGAAGACCTTTAATGTCAAGCCGAAGGTAGTGAGCGGCCGCCAGGCAGAGTGCGGAGGCGCCATGTTGGGCAAGATGCCCAACGTCACCTGGCTCGAGGGCTCCTTCGTGGAGACCATAAAGGGGTGGCAATGGGGGTGGTTCTATATCACCGAGCCGCGTGACCCCGAATGGGCAGCGGCCCCCGAGTTCCGATCTGGCATCCCCACGCGGCTCACCTCCTGGCAAGAGAAGGGCCTGTCCTGGGGTAGTTCGGTAGAGCTGACCGGACTCCAAACATGTATCCAAAACATGGTGAGCAAGAAGTTCAAACTCGTCAACGTAGTCCAGGTCATGCTCATCCGCCGGATCCTCCCGTGTCAACGACGGGCTTTCAACTTGTGGGAGTTTGACCCGGCCCAGCACCAAACTCTGAACAGGCTCTTCGACACAACACACGAGGATGCCTGGAAGGTGCTATTCAAGGGCGCCGAGGTCCCTCCCTCCCTCACCGAGGACCGCGGGCTAAGCGCGAAGCGCCGAGCGCATTCGGTGAGTTTTATACATCTAGTAGGATATTCTATTTCCCCTAGCTTAATTATGCGCGGGGTCTGATCTTCATGCCTTTGATAGGACTGGGTGGAGACGTCGGGACAGATTAACTGTCCGGCCCCTCTGCCCGAAGACACTGCGGACGCTCTCCTTACGGAGATGCTGACTCCGGCCCCTTATAAGGTGCCGGAGAAGACCAAGAAGGCCAAGGGAACCCGAAAGAGTTCCCGACGCCAGGCGTCATCGGACTCATCGTCCGATAACTCTGCGACACACTCCTCCCCCGAAGACGAGGAGGAAGAAGAATATGCTCCCCCTTCAGTTGGGGGAGACAAGAAAAGGAAGGCCGCCCCAACTAGGGAGGACGAAGGGTCCAAGAAGGGAAGGACTCTCCTTTCGGACAGTTCCACCATCGCCGCCGAAGGCGAAGAGGAGTGGCTGCTCAGGGCCAAGCCCCTGGCGAAGTCGTAAGTATTCGGATACTAGAGTAACTCATAGCATTCCTTTGTCGCACTGCTTCCCCTAATGTCGAATATGATTATGCAGGCCGCCACGAGCCCGTATCGATGTATCGTCGGATGGCTCCCTGGGCTCGTCGGATATGGATAGCGATTCACTTCCGACCGCCACCTCCCCTTGCCCTGCGGACGACGCCGAGGTATTGTCTCAAGAGGCACCGGGTCGAGGGGAGACAGTCCCGAAGGCGCCTCAAGGCGACCTTCCGGACTCCTGGAGCAGAGGGAACAAGGCCCTGGGGGCTCCGAGTTCGGCCCTCAGCCGAACACCACACCGGAACCTTCAGTGGTTCCGGACTCGGGCAGGCGGCCTCCTTTCAAGAGGGGTAAGACGCTTGTGCCGGTGACCTCTATCCATCCAGAGGCACCGGACAATCTGCTGGGAGCGCTTCACAGCGCTTCCATCGACGAGGAGCACCATACTATTATGAGTGTGGTGGTCCAGAAGGTTCAGTCCGCCAAGAGCGGATTGACTGAAGCCTGTGCCAGCCTTCTAACAGGCTTTGAGGTAAGTGTTTAAAATATAGGAAAAATATTACCGCATAGACAGTAGCCCCTGATGCTCTGTTCGGTGTTCACAAAGAAAAGCCGAACAGAGGATCAAACAATATCATAGGAGTCTAATATAAGTATGTCAATATGCGTATGCAGGCTTCGCTGCTGGCATCTGCCGCACTGACTGCGGAGGTCACCGCACTGAAGCAGGACCTTAAAGGGTCCAAGGACGAGCTCGGCCTTGCTAAGAGCCAGCTCGAGGAGAACAAAGGTAAGTAGTACCTAGTCTATGGATGTGTATAAAAAGAATGCGATTGCAAAATGACAGGATCATCATGAATTTGCCAGGGGCCACGACCAAAGTGGTGACCTTAAAGCAAGCGCTGTCCGAGGCCGAAAATAAAGCGGCCAAGGAGCGCACCGAGCGGGAAAGGCAAGAGGCTCGGGTGAGCGAGGTGCAACAAGAGCTCCAGGCTCTCGTGACGAAGCACGAGGCGTTGGAGCTTGACTCAAAGACGCGAGAGTCTGAGGTTGCCGCGGCCCTCGAGAGTGCAAAGAGTGCCAAGGCCGAAGCCCAAAAGGCCCTCCAGGAGATTGACGCGATGAAGAAAATAGCGGCGTGTAAGGCATTCTACATGCAAAACAAGCATGTGAAAAGTAAA